AAGGGAGTAATACTTTTTTTATTTTTCATAATAAAAAAAAACATCTTAATCTTATGACTAAGCATGATATTGATAAAAGACAATTTTCATTGGCGGTGCCGCACTTTCTTAATCTTAGTATTCGCAAAATGTTCATTCACATGACTGAAGAGTATCAAGTCCAATTAATTGAGGACTTGGGAAAAATTTGATCAATTAGTTATTTATATTTAGTCAAGTGGACTAATTATAATTTTTTTGATTAAATTTTATTAGAAGTGTATTTGACTAAAACTTGTGGTAACTTTTTAAAATTTCGTTATTCTATAATATTTAACTATTGATTTTTCTTGTAAATAGTTAGAAGTCAGTGATGTTTGTTAATTTTTATCTTAGTGTATTTAACTTCTACGTTAATATTTACTCACTAATGTATGTTTTTTCTACTTTATAGGTTTATTTGTAAGAGTAGTTGAGTAGATATGAGCATATCAAGTACAATTTATGTTCAATATTTTTAATTAAATTAAAGTTAGATGAAACAATTACTTAAGTGAAGAACAAATAACTTTGTAATAATTTATTATGTCGATTTTATAATTTTTGTTTATTTGATAAGATTGAATAAATAATTGGGGCTATTTTAATAATTTTACAACTTATGGGATTTTTATGTTTATGAGAAAATATACAACACAAAAATTTCATATCGCATGTCCAACCTTCAATTTCATCTCATGATTCCATATCATGATACCATATCGCATGGCCAAACGGGCCCTTAGGATGCAATAATAGAAATGACTAAAAGGACAGAAGCTGACGATTTCTGAAATCTAGATCAGCGGGAACATCTGCCTGAACCAGCTCAAAATGGGCATTTCCAACCAGTTTTGAGTTTAGAAGTCGGAGTTTTAAGACTCGGGAAAGGCTGAAGGGATACAACAATAGAAATGAAAAGAAAAAGCTGAACAGAAGTGAGAGTTACATCAAATGTAAGAACAATCACATGGTACTGAAGTAAGGTGTACTTGCTCAAGTTAAAAGGGCTAATAGGATGTTTCCAACAGACTAAGGGTAATTTGAGCTTTTCCAAGTACATAGATTATGTGCAATGAACTTGCAAGTCACATATAGCAACTCTGTTATTTACCTTAAAAGAAATCGTTGCATACCAATAATTGACTCCCGATTGAGTGTAGGTATGAGTTTACAGATTGGCAGGTTCTCCCCCTCTTACTTAATAGGCTGAGCTTTTCTATTTAGTCTATAACAATTACTATCAAAGCAATGATTGAGCCCAAAAATCAAAGAGGGGGCTCGAGAGAGTGTCACATGTGAAGGCTTTGACCTCAAGAGGTGTGCTAGCCGTGATCAATTGGGAGTAGTTACCTGGACCCAAGAGTGTACTAGCCTTGACCAACTGGTAGAACATCAGTAGCGGTACCATCTATGACTAACTTGGGTCCAAAAAGAAGAAAAAAAAGATCGGATAACAGTAGACAGTAGTGACTAATGGGGTCAGATGGGTGTCAAGAGTGGTGGCCTAGATCCAAGAAATGTAAAGACCCGATACAAGTAAGTTTTTACCATGAATGCATTAACGAACCTGGAAAATCAGGGCTAAGCACTGGATCAAGAATTGAACGGCAGTTAATTAGGGTTACAATTGCATACTTCTCCCATTGATTCTCATTTAGGCCTTTTGAGGAATGAGCTGCAATTAATCCAGCAGCAGCCAACAGTCCACATAGTTTTATATCTCTCGTTTTGCAGCCCTGCAAAAATTCACATTTTGTTACTACCTCCTAATGCTCTAAATTGCAAACAATATACATTTAATTAGGGAGTCGTAACCTGTTGCTAAGACTCTTCAAAAATGTTGTCAAGTGCATGTTGAATCTTCCAAAAGTAGTGTACTTTTTGAGGATTAGCAAGTGGCGAGCAACATTTTGGAGTATTGCACACACTTATCATAGACAGTTACATACAACTAACTTCTAAATAATTTGATTTTGCACTGTCGACGTATAAATTTAAACCATTAATCAGGCTATAAACCTGATTTCAATTGAGCCGAATTGGATCTTTTGAATTAATAGTATTAGTTTATACCATTCTCGGTGGACAGAGTTATTTGATACACATGTAGATAGAAGGTACTGAGGTAAACCATTAGTTGACCCGAACACCAGTACACCACAATTATTTTTTAGAGATATTTAGGTAATACCATTACTAACAATCAGGCCAGATTCTAGTCATGTGAAAGATGTAGCATGCAAATTGGCCAATTCACAATTCGAATGTGATTAAAGTTGGACATCATGTGAAGAGAATAGTACATCTTCATTCAATGAGGGCCATAGATTCTCAACCAACCTAACAAGAAAATTGAGCCAAGCAAGTTTTTATAGAGTAGCTTTGCCTAATTTCTAAAGAAAATGAAAAAAAGATGTCAACCTAACTTGACTTGACATTTAAAATCAATTTTTTTATGACGATGATGTTCAAGTCAATTTGCAAATGTTATCTATACCTGCTATTTGCCATCTATGCAGATACCCGATAACTTTATCGATCAAAACT